CTTGTAGGATCTTAAAAATACTATGTGGACATTAATATCAATTTAAAAGCAAAACTAATAATTTTTTTATTTTTAAATTTTATAATTTATTTTGCTGATAAAATCTAATTAATAAAATTTTTGTCCAACTTAATATTCACTCGTATGACGATGTATTGTCACGTACGTAATTACAAATGTGTAAAATTATAGACACAAATTTATAAATCATATAAAATTTAAGAATTTTTGTTTTTCGTTTTGTTTCAGTCATTTGACTCAGTTTTTCAAAATTATTTCATTTTCACAGTAGCTGGAAATAAATCCAAAACAAGTTCAAGTAGAAGCATCAACCAACAGTTTGGACAGAAAGTATCATTAGAAAAACAGAATGAATGGATCTTCAACTGGAGATGGGAAGATATAGAGAAATGGGTATGAAATTGTTCTCTAAACTGCTTCAGATATGCGGCAAGTTTGGCTATGATTCTATGAACTTGAACTACGTGATGTCATGATTGTTTCTAACATTTGGATGAGAATGAATTCCTAGTATATTGAACATGTTCACACACAGGCAGAAGCTCAAAAGCAAACAGATATGCAAAGGGATAGAGAACTCACTAAATTAAATTTAAAATATTTGATGGAAAGAAATGGATAAATAACGGACCAATAAATGAAGTCAATAAGCATAACTGCTCCAGCATTCATCTGCATATGACAAATTAAAATGAGGTTTAACATATAAGTTTTGAGGAATAAGGTAGAAGCTACATGAAAAGCTCAAAGGATTCCCACAACGGTCTTAAAATCTTTTAGCATCCAATGCAGTTCTACAAAAATGATTTTAGAGTAAAAATACTAGTACTGTTTTCACTAGAAGGTTTAGAACCATTATTTTGTTGACTTGAGTGGCAAAAGAGAATTTACCTGGAATATAACTTGGAAGAGATAACTAGAAATGCCTGCAGTTTGTGAAACATTGCATCTTTCCTGGGGATTGGAGGCTTATCTACGAACATTTTTACCATTTCTGTTAGTTAAAGGCATGTAGTATCCTTGCTCTGAATCTATCCTAACATTCTCCACATCAAAATCACAGCTGCTCATTTTTTGATGCTGGTAACACCCGTAAATAGAGAGCAATGCTTGCAAAAATGAGGTTGAAATCATACTGCATACAGTTATCTGGATACTGACAGTTTTTTGCAGAAGCAGAAACATTGCAACAAAGAATGGGAAGAATATAATTAGAAGAGATACCCCAAAATAAATGGTAACCAAAGTAAAAGTCCGCCTGTCCAGCACCAAAAGACATCATAACTTAAAGTTAGAATGTTTTGGAAAATACCTGTCAGAAATAATTAGGAAGCTTGACATACAAGGCAAAATACGCTATGATTTCAGTTTCGGAAGATCAGATAGATGAACAATATACATTGGTTTTAAGTTCAAAATCAATTTTGTACCGGGATAGGTGACTCTATACTCTCATACAGCCTTTGGCAGTTTGGTTGATATTTAGCAGCTTTTGCAGCTCTTTGGAAAAATAATAAACTTTCCTTGTACAAAAAAAGAAGCTCACGATCAATTTAAAAAACGACACTCATTGCATTTACTTAAAATGCCATGATTAAAATATAAAGATGGAAGCAGTTTAAATAAGAATTAGTAACTTAGTCCAAGGCAAGTTCGGATAGGGAAGATTGCTTACTGAGTATAATAGCAATAAATGCAACCATCATTAACAACAACTTTGATTTTAACTGTTGCCAAAGCCAAACAAAACGCAACAACTCGATAACCCAACAGCCAAAGAGGATGGATTTTTTGAAGACAAGGCCTCCAAACATCATCATCATATAACTCATCACAACCTAAATCTTCCTGCCTTTCTCTTCCATCACATTTCACTTGTTTCAATCCTTCATATTTCCATATTAAAAACAATGCCATAACAATTGGAGTCAAAACAATAATTGAACAAAGCAACACTCTCCAATTGAACCAGTAACTCAAGGTCGTTGTATCTGCAGTCACCGAATCCTGCTAAAAGCAAGTTACCCATTATAATTCTTGACACCCTTTTTCTTTGTTTTTAAAAAAACTATCTTTTTTTTATTAACTATTAATCAACTGCTTGGTTCATATTTGATATGTTCAAATTCAGATTTTTCCATACACAAATTTCTATTTTTTTATCTGATTGCAGTGCTAAATATTCATTAATTACATCAAAAACCGAAAAGGGTATTTGAAATTAATAAGCAATCCATGAAAAATAAAGTAATCCTGAAGATTCAAAATTTTGGATGATATTAATACCAACAACATGATCCAAATATAATCCACAGAAGAAAAAGCTTTATGACAGATTCCAACTAGTGAAAAGATAGATTACTTACAGAATATATAATGATTTCCAGGGGAAGCAATGAGAAACAGAGGCCTTTCGGTAGCTTGGATATGAGGAAATGGATAATTCCATTCTTTGATTTTTTTTTTGTATTTTATTGATTTTAAGCATTTTAATTCCTTATTGTGGAACCGCGAGATATAAATTTGGATCCATATGATGTGATGACGTGGCGGCATTTGCTTACAATTTTATGTGCTTTGAACACGAGCTAGTGAGGAAAATTTTGGTTGGCCCCTAAGTTGATGTTTGGTTACAGCCTTACAGGGCAGGGCAGCCCATGTAACTATTTGACTTGGTTCATGGCGGTAGCCTTTTTTGCTACGTCGCCAAATAAACACTTAACTTTGTGTATTGACTGATAGTTTTCTCTTGATCATTTTGATGTGTGGCTTTTGTTTTCTCGCCCTTTTATTATATTGCAATGATAAAGGTGGACACAGGACACGTACATTTCTAGGGCTTTAGTGTTCTTCCCAGCTAATGCTTTGCTGTAGCCTGAAATCCTTATCCCGTTGCCAAGAATGGTCCATGCTTTTTCATCCACTTCCTGCTTTTTACATTCCTTGCTGAGGTTGCCAATACATCTCAAAGCGGTGGTATAATCCTGACTGCTGAGGCCAATGCAGTTTACTTGGATTCCAGGCTTTGCTGAATTTATGTGATGATAATGTTTTCATGCCAGAATTTCCAACTTTGATGCTACCATTACGTTTGGTTGCCTAGGAAAAACCAGAGATGAAAGCATATTGAAGTTTATCGAGCAATAATTTCAGTACTTGGTTTGCAGTAGTAGCCTACCATTCAAGAGCAGGTTTTCAATTGAAGTAAAAGAATCTGCTCTTGGTCTTTCTTTGGTGCAATGCTGGCAGTTATTGCTTAATTTCAGTAAAACATGATACGAAACTGATTCGTATTACAGCAATACAGTAGTTTCATGCCACTTTTTTTTTAAGAACTATGCCTGAAGTTATAGCTTTTAATGTAAGCAATTCACTCATGTATGAAACTCTTTACACAATACTCGATTGCCACAATAAGCTAGCCTTGACCTACAACATAAAAGTCTTCTGCTACATCTTCCCGATCTGCCTGATCATAAAGGCGATGGGATGAATCTAAGTCGAAATTCATTAAGGAGGGAATTAAGTGTTTTGAAATAGCAAGGGCTTACAATCTTTATCAGGGCCTAAAGCAGAAAGAAACCAGTAAATTATACTCAAATTTTGCATTCTGAAGGCTGCAGCAGATGTCTCTGAAGTTTCTGATCACTTTATTAAAGTTATAACTAGGAAGAAGTTCATTCATGGGGCTTTTGATGATCTTGTTGCTCTTTGAATCAATGCCACTGCTTTCGTCTTCTGAAAGTAGCCATCCATTAAGTGGAAATATCTGAATAGGATATAAAAATACATCAATAAAAGAAACAGCCTCTCACTTAAGTTTAAGCCAAATTAAAAAGGAAAACTTAATTGGGAATTCATTTCCTTTATAAGAAGGGTATAATATCTTGAAGAATCCATTAGTTTTTGAACTTTTCAAAATCACTTTGGTTTTCCCAAACTGATCAGCAGCATGCAAAGTTTTGTTGCCCTTACAGCTGAACTGCCTTGGAGATAGAGCCTGGAAATAGGCTTGAAAGAAGGCCTTCTTCTCTTTAAGCAACTCTTTCCAAACTGCAAAAGCACCAGCTTAAGCATGTCAAAACACTAATAACACATATACATGCAGGCGCTGAAAAGAGTAAAGAGAACTTTTTACCTGTTAGGGTGATGGTTGGTTCAATCTTGGCATGCTTAGCAAGTGCTTTGACACAGTCATCTCTGCTCATGTGAAACACAAGGCATCTCTCTATCATATGTTGAACCTACAAAACAAATCGCCCCAAAGCATTAAAAACATTAAGTTCTTTATGTTTTTCACAATGATTTCAAAAACCCTATTAAATGGTCACAAACAATGCTAATACAAAGCAAAAGATTCTAACTATCCCAAGATACTAATCTGGTGTTTTACCATTCCATTGTAATCATGTGGCTGGCAATGCAAACAAGGGAATTGATGTTTTTGGCACAATTTGAGAAAAGGAGAGAGAGGTGAGTGCAAAAAGTGCAGGGCTGTTTGACATATATGTTAGATATTTAGATTTTTTTTTTAATAAGGAAAAGCATAATAAAAACAAAATGAAAGGGGAAGAGAGAAACTGAGAAAAGGGCTGTTATCCACAAATATCCAAGTGAAGGGCCAAAAGAGCATGAGAAATCCTAAGGCTTAGGCTCACCTCATCTTCAAGTGATGAGACTTCACCATCTTCCAATTGCAGAAACAATATTTTTTCTGAGATGGGAAATGTTTTGATGTGGACCTCTCTGCAAACTTCCATAACTCTTTCGATATCTATCCCATCACCTACAGCTTAAATTTAATCTAGTTGGGCTTGATGGGTGATGAAGCTTCTGATCCTAGAAACTTACAGCAGGGTCCATATCTAGTTGGGCCACAACAGATTGAGCATGAAATGATGGAGCCTCTCTATCATAGTTCGGCCCACAAGTAGCAGCCCATGAAAACCACACAAAGCCAATAACCATCTGGAAAACCCTGCTTGGCTAACACGCGAAGTTGAAAAAGCCCCGGGTTTTTGCTGCTTTCATGCTCTTTTCCTCTTCAGCTTTATTGGTAAAACTGAAAACTTCCTTCTACAGCTTTTCTCTCCAAAAAATTTTGCTATCTAATTAAAATTAAATCTTGGGTAAGTCTTTTTTCTCAACATTTTACCTTAACTGTTCGTGAAATAATTGATAGTATTTTCTTTTCCTATACATGCTTTGAATGTATATGTATTTTCATGAATTTGGGTCTTTCTGGTGTTTTATGTTATAGTTTATTCTTAATGGAACTTTGGGTATGCGGTAATAGTTGAATTTACTTTTTCTTTTGGGGAGTAAATTTTGGTACTTTGATTACTTAACAGACCAAAATTTTCTCAGTAATTCATGGAAGAAGAAAAAGAGAGAAATTTCTGAAACATATATTGAAGCTTTTTGCAATTTTCTGATAACATAATAAATAGTAGCTTACATTGAACATTTTTTCTGACTTGTGACAGACAGGTAATTGCTTTTTTTGGTTCTGCATAAAATTTAGTATTTTGAGGATGTTGCTTTTGGATCCCTCAAAGAAGATGTCATTTAACCGGTGCATTAGAGATGGAGACTTGGTTATTGTCTATGAGAGGCATGATACTATGAAGGCTGTTAAAGTGTGTGAGAATTCGGTTCTTCAAAATCGTTTTGGTGTGTTTAAACATTCGGATTGGATTGGGAAGCCATTTGGTTCCAAAGTGTTTAGCAACAAGGGTGGATTTGTTTACCTATTGGCTCCAACGCCGGAGTTATGGACTTTGGTTCTAAGTCACAGGACTCAGATTCTCTATATTGCAGATATTAGCTTTGTGATTATGTACTTGGAAATAGTTCCTGGTTGTTTGGTTCTTGAATCAGGGACCGGAAGTGGATCTTTAACAACCTCACTTGCAAGGGCTGTGGCTCCTACCGGACATGTTTATACATTTGATTTCCATGAACAGAGGGCTGCGTCAGCTAGGTAAGAAAATGTTTTTCTTTTGTGAGAGTGCATTGTAATATTATTTTATCATTCTGATGAAATTTCAGTTTCAAAGCTTGAGTTATGAAATATGATTTGATAATTGTTAAGGTTGAGTTAGAGTTCTAGTTTGATTTCTGAATCTATTTGGGCTGATGTATTTTCAGATTCTGCATCTGTAGCTGCAATGTTTCAGAGTCTCAAAATCATCCCATTTTATGGATCTTTTCTTTTCTTCTTTTGAGCATGTTTAGTCCCATTTTATGGTTTCTGCTTGTCTAACTCACTGTAGAAAGATGTGAAGATGATCCTTTATTCCTTTTATTCTTTTATGGGTTGATTAGAGAGCAAAGGCCTGATTCATTGGCTTATCTGTTTATGATTTATCTCTCCTTTGACAGAGAGGATTTTGAGAGGACAGGAATAAACACCTTAGTTACTGTGGGAGTCAGAGATATTCAGGGTGAGGGATTTCCAGATGAATTTTTCGGGTTGGCTGATTCTGTATTTCTGGACCTTCCACAACCTTGGCTGGCCATTCCTTCAGCTGGAAAAATGTTGAAACAAGATGGAATTTTGTGCTCCTTCTCACCTTGCATTGAACAAGTGCAACGCTCATGTGAAACTCTTAGATCAAACTTTACAGGTAGCATTTTTGAAACTAGTTCTGCTATCTTGCTCAAGCGGTATTTCTTTTATAGTGTCATGAACTTTTCTTAGAAGTGTTCTCTCTTTGTCTCTCTCTGTATCTAAAGTCTAAAGTGCTTGTAAGGTACAGACATAAGGACCTTTGAGATACTACTTCGCACGTATGAAATCCGTGAATGGAAAATGGATTGCTCAAAGGTTGATGATGATCGTTCCGTTGCATCTCCTCCATGCAAGAGGAGGCAGCCTTCAGGTGAAGGAAGCATGGGGGACAACCCAAGTTCTCCAGCAGTCATGGCTCGGCCATCTGCTGAAGCTAGAGGGCATACTGGATATTTGACATTCGCAAGACTTGAGCATGTGTCATGAAAAACATTACTCTTACGATCAATTCAGCACGATATTGAGAGTTTGTATCCTTGTATTCTGATTGATTCTTACATCACTCCATTACAAAATTGTTCATTCCTTATCATCTCTGGTCAACACAGAAGGTTCTGATAATGGTTTAGGCTCTTGTTATTCCATGTTGCTTTCAACTGAGGTGTACCAAAAGTCTAAAACTATATCATACAGATGGGACGATGATATTTCTTTCTGCACTTGGGGTTACAGGATACAATTTTTTATGTGGAGTTGTGGAAAGAATAATCATCAACTCTTGGCAATCAAAGCTTCACTAGAATAACATTGCCATTTGCCAATTCTATTGTTTCTTTACAAATGCATTTCTGATCCTATTGTTTCATTATAAATTAAAATTTCTCATCCAAAAGTCTTCTATTTGCAGTTTTTATCCTCTCATGGCAAAATGTACTGTTACGCTTCATATCTACCATGGAATCTTTCGATTGGATTCCTTAAGTGGCTGAAAAATGTCCTGGAAATGGATTTTAGGGGATTATCTAGTTGGCAAAATATGAGGTCCATGGTTTAGATTTCCCTTTTGAAAAGAAGCCTTGATTGTCACTTCTGTCTTGGCATCTTTAGTACACATACTAGTGAATTCATGCTATCCATGCATTTCCAGCTCTAGCTAATCACCACCAAATGAAGTTTGCAGAACTTTGGACTAATTGATCTGTTCGGTTTTTGTCCATAGTTTGACATTACCCATAACAAGAAATCAACACGTTGGAAACTGAACTGTTAACTTCATATATTAGTATGGATAATCAAGCATTAAACATGCACCTCTACTTGAATTTGCCGTAAAGATTATAGAATGTATGATTTTCAAGTTTCAGCTTCAAAATAAAACTGTTCATCACTATTACCTCAGTCTTTTGACCTTTGTGTCCAATGTTTTATTCATCTTAAACACCACTTTTGTTAGTGACTTCACAGTTCAGACTTTAAGAATGTGAACCGCAAGACTGATGAAGCTAACTGCCAAGTGCAAAAGTAAATGCCTTGTCCTTTTCATGCCCCGCATTTTTGTATTCATGCAGGTTTAAAACCCCAACCTCTATGACCTTGCCTTCCTTTTGTAACATTCAAAATGCATAGCATTGCATTCGTTCTTTCTCCTTAGCTCCATTGTTCAAACCTCCAACTAAAAACCACAACCCCAGATATAGTCGGGTATCAAACCTATCTTCTTTAAAGCCGTTAGATCTCAGTTCCAGATATGGACATTCATATCAAGAACCTTCTTATCTGTCTTCTTGTTCAGGCTCCAATGCTCTAATCTTTCAGTCATTCCTCATTTCAGATAAAACATGTGATAGTTTTAAGGTCAGAGCAACATCAGTTCCTGAAAACATAGATGACACAAAGGACTCCAGCGGTTTGGCTAGGACCTTGCAGCTTGGAGCCATGTTTGCATTTTCGCATTTTCTGAACATCAACTTCAACATTTTCAACAAGCAGGATTTATATCCTTTTTTTAATCACAATTTCTTATTTTCACTATAGTTCAAGGGTCATCCCTTAAATATATTCCCTTACAATTAAGTCAGCAGTGTCTTAGAGAAATGCAATTCAAAGCACCGAAGTAAATCTTGAGTTCGGTGATAAATTTTCTTAGATTGCTATTGTTAGTTTTCGATATACCATTCACATTAAGGCTGATATATTTTAAGTATAATTCAATTGCATTCTTTTTCTGCTGAAGGTTCTTAAGGTCTATACATTTCCAGCAACAGTTACAGCCTTCCAATTTGGCTGTGGGACTTTGATAATACTTGCAATGTGGGCGTCTAATCTCTACCATCGACCATAGCTTACTCGTTCACAGGTACTTCTGTAATTTTCATCACATATCTATATTTCTGTTCTGCAATCAGTATTTTACAAAGCAGTTTTCAGGTTGCAACAATCATTCCATTGGCTGCTGCTCACACTCTTGGCAACCTTTTGACTAATGTTAGTCTTGGGAAAGTTAATGTCTCATTCACTCACACAATTAAGTCAATAGTGCCCTTCTTCACAGTCTTATTCTCAGTTCTATTTCTTGGAGAGGTAAGAGTATTGATATAAATACTGCTTGAAATTAGAATATTTATTCTGAATGCTTGAGCATTCAGTTCTGTTCTCCCTCCATCATAAGCTTTCACAGAAATGAGGAGATTGACTTGTCAAACAAAATTCTTTGGTTAATGTGCTTTAATGAAGACCCCAGTTGAGCAGCTGTGCAAAGTTATAGAAACAAATTAACAAATCATGTCATATTTAAGAATTTTTATGTTTTGTTTCAGTCCTTTGACGCAGTTTTTCACAATTATTTCATTTTCACAGTGGCCTACTTTCTGGATAGTGTCCTCTCTCATGCCAGTTGTAGGTGGAGTGGCATTAGCCTCATTCACTGAGGCATCTTTTAATTGGTAAAAACCCTTGTCTGATAAACTCATTTAAAAGTCTGATACACTATCCCTTCACAGAAACATGGTCCATGTTCAGTTAAACTCGTTTCTTAAACTTGACTAAGTCTTGTTCTGAAACAGGATTGGCTTCTGTAGCGCAATGGCTTCCAATGTGACTAACCAATCGCGTAATGTGCTCGGTAAAAAGTTCATGGTTAGAAAAGAGGTAAAAAAACATATAATTCAAGCACAAATATACACTGGTTTTACATTTTAAATGTCATTGAGTCACCATTGTTTTATGACAAAATTATGACAATTATGCTCTTGATTTTACAAAGTGATTTCTAATTTATCTGATTGATTATGTCTTCTGGGCTCTAATCCTCACTTTTCTAAACAGGACACTTTGGACAATATCAATCTCTTCTCTGTAATAACCATAATTTCATTTATCCTATTGGTTCCTGCTGCCATTTTAATGGAAGGTGTCAAGTTCACTCCTTCATATCTCCAATCTGCTGTAAGTAGCTATAGCACATTTACAAAGGAAATGCTGATGTTGTCTTAAAGCAACAATTAGAGCTTGTTATGTCAAAAACATGAAGCTGTTTTTTTTTTCCCCCCTCTCTTTCTTGAATCAATTCAAACCAAGGTTTGATTATTAGGGAGCTATGCATAAGGTCGCTTCTGGCAGGATTCTGTTTCCACAATTATCAGCAGGTGAGCCTGTTTGTATCTATTGTAATTTGCTTCTTTATCCTAAAATTATGCAGTTCCTGAGTAATCATAGTAACTATAGCAGTAGGGAATGCCTAATTTCTAGTCCTCTAATCGAAGTTGAAATGCCATGTTTTCTGTTTTGCTGGTCTCTTACATGATACTGCAGATGGTATAACCAGTTACACACTTGTAGGAAATTGTGTTAAGAGGGTTGTGGTCATCGTCTCTTCGGTTATCTTCTTTCAAACGCCTGTTTCACCTATTAATTCCCTTGGTAAAATTGTTCATCAACCAATTGTTAAAACATGGCAAATTTACAAATCTTCCTTGATCATCAGCTGTTACATGCACTAATCAAATTGTCATAAACTTGCACTTGTATTCTATTAATAATTAACTGTGACTGGTTTGGACTGCAGGCACTGCAGTGGCTCTTACTGGAGTCTTCTTGTATTCGAAAGCAAAGCGAATGAAGCCAAAGCCAAAGGTTGCAGGAGTTTGTATTAAATTTAGATGGAAAAAAGGTCTCTAGCTAAATGTTCTTAACGGTTTTAAGATCGCCAAACATAAATGAGTTTTAAGATCGAAATAAATGAGGGAGTTGTCACCGATCTTTGTTAGGATGTGATTGGTCACCCAAAAATTTATCTTTTCAATAAAACTATAAAAGCAAGTTTAAAGTTAATCAAAAAGATAAATTTTGATTTACGAAAAATCAGGTTAGATCCGAGAGTCGGTTATGTGTAGAGAAAGATTAGCACCCCCACAACGCCCATAACTTGGTACCCTTTAATTACGCACTATTTTCAGTGTTGGATAAAAATAGTTTCAATTTAAAATTTAACACTAATTCCCTTCATTTGAAAAAATAAAATTTTGCTAAAGCTCTTTATTTAGGAATATTGAGAAATCTTAAAGTTAAAGAATTATTTTAAAATTCTCCAACATCTAGGCAGAATTTAAAATAACTCTTTTCGCTTAAAATTTAACACGATAATCTTTAAAATGAAATAACAGTCTTTATAAAAAATAATTATTAGTGACTCTCCAACATCTAGGTAGAGTACCAAGAATTATTTCTTTTATAATGTTATTTTTATTTCATTTTATAATATCACAAAATTTTTTTTAAAAAAATGTATTATTCTTTTTTATTATAAAATATTTTATCATCAAACAGTAAATTAAAGAGAGAATAATGCAGCCAATTATCGATAATAACACGCTAACGTATGTATGCTAATGAATGTCATATAAAAAGAAATGCAATTTAAAAGTTGGGTTCTTAAGTATAATGAGATCACCCTGATTCTTCAACATCTAGGTAGAGCTTAGGTGTGACTGTTTATATTTAAGAATCTAATTTATTATTATAATTTTTATTTATTAATCTTATTATTAATGCGAATTAAGAACTCGTGTGAAAAAGCTTAACGAAGTAAAGTTTCCTAAACACCCCATCATTTAGACGGCATTCGAAAACAAATTACTTCAAATGAGATTTTCACACATGTCCTTAGGATTTTCAGAATGTTTTAAGTAAAAGCTTGAGTAGAGTTTTTAAAGGTTAGGGTTTCAAAATTTTGAAGATTTGGATTTTAGGATTTTGGATAGAGTTTTGAGGGTTTTATTGTTTGATTCTAAGATTTAGAGGATCTTAAAGCTTGGATTTTAGGGTATGGAAGGTTTAAGATTTTGATTTTAGAGTTTGGAGGTTTTAGGGTTTTGGATTTAAAATTTGAGATTTGGGGTTTTGATTTAAAGGTTTGGATTTTAGGGATTTTGGGTTTTAGGATTTGGATTTAAAGATTAAAAGGTTTTAGGGTTTTGAAATTTAAGAATTAGCGTTTAAAATTTCGTTATGTTAAAAAAAAGTAAACATCTTTAAAAAATTTTAACATCTAGGCGGATTTTTGGAGCAAATTCAATTTTAGTGATTTTTAAAAATTAATTAAAAATTTATTATATATATATTTTTTATGAAAATTTATTAATAATAATTCTCCAATATCTAGGCGTAATTATTTTTAGGAATATATTTTTATTTCCTTTAATATCTAGGCAGAGAAAATAAGAAAAAATATTTTATTATTATTATTATTTTTAAGTTATAATAATTATTTTTTAAGCGTTTTTAATATATATTTTTAATTATTATCTTACTTTGTTTTCATTTTTATTATTATTAAAATAATTAAATAATTATTCTAATAAATTTAAAAATTTATCATACATAAATAAAAAAATACTTAAAATAACAAAAATAATAATATATAAAAAAATTAAAAAATTCCAAAAATTTTTTTTTTTTTTACCTGAACCAAATCGGTCAATAGTCCGATCAACGGTGGTTCGATTGGATCGAAAATGGTTCGATTTGACGTACGATTCGGTTAAGCCGGTTGAGAGACGGTTCGGGCCAATCTAGGAAGCGATTTGGTCCGGTCTGGTTAAATTGGTTCAGAGCCGCTGAGGAGCCGGGTTGGTAGGTCGGTTGAGTGAACCCCGGGTTGGGTTCGGGGCCTTCCTTGCCTAAATGATGTCGTTTTAAGCTGTTTAATTTTTTATATAAACCTTAAAAATTTTTTTTACTCATTTCTTCTTCTGCTCAAAAAAAAAAATAAAAATCTCCCTGGTCTGAAAATGCTCTCTAGCTTCAGCCGAAGTCTGGTGTCGTGCCTTCTCGTCGACCACCATTGGGTCACCGTCAGTGATCGAAAAATCTCCAGAATTCACCAAAATGCCCTTATCAACCCCCTGAACTCAAATCTGCTATCTTTTTCATGAAAAAAATCTCGATCAACGTAAATTAGGGTTTGAAGATTTATGTTTCTTCTCTTTTTTTTTGTAAACCGAAGAATGATATGATTTTTTATTTTTGCAAGGAGCTTCGACTCTGAAGTTCCTCCTTACAGGGAGGACTGTTTGTCTCTATTTTTGTTTTTTTGTTTTGGGGTTTTGTGTGGGATAATAGAGAGATCATACTATGGTGACTTATGGGATTGGCTCTAGAGGATGGTAGAGTAGAGTTTTCTGGCAGTGTTCTAAGGGTCCAAGAAGGTTGAGAGAAGAATGTTGAGGATATAGAGCTAAAATGGTGGTAACCAATGGAGCAACGTCTGGCGAGTATATGTGATGGCGGGGTAAGGTTGATGGTTTTCCGAGCAGTTTGGGGCAAATAAGGTGCAGGGGCTTCGAAGGGATTGGGGATGGTGGTGACAGAGTGGGTCGCAGTGGTGGGTGGTAGTCGGTGACATGTAAGGCCACTACTGTCAATCCCTAATTTTTTTTTTTAATCAGTTATCACTTTTATTTTTATTTTTTAATATTAATTAAATCAATATTATTACTATTATTAAACCAAAGATTGGAAATGGTAGATCCGGATAAAATTTGGTATCTACACTAAACATTCAAAAAGAAACATTAAACTCCAATAAACTGAAAGTAAAGTTTTCTTCTTCATATGTACTCACAAAAGTAATCAATAAAAATTTGCTATTTGAATTAAGGTTTTTAATCAAGTTGGTTGATACTATTACTCTTAAAAATGATATTTAATGATCCATATTGGTGGCATAAATGAATAGAGATGATGGAATGATAATCATTCTATATTATGTTTAGTTTGTATCTAATTAAAAAGGATATGATTGCAAGAAGAATTATCATGATTTAATACAAGAATGATAATTTTTTTTTTTGTATAAGATGATTTAATCTTTTTAAAGTGAAGAGAATTATTTTTAATACATGAGATTGAATTTATATGTTTTACGATATTCCTAAAAATTATATCAATAATTTAAATTATATAAATTTTGAAAAAGAATAATTTTAATCAATAAATAAATTTATCTCATCATAATTCTTTCACACATCAAACATAGAATAATATCACATTATTTAATATAATCCTATTTATAATATTATATTATATTATTTTATTATAATCTTATATATTAAGTATGACAAATAAGACTTAAATTCAAATCTCATACTTACTATCTCTTACTCTATCTATGCCAAGTTTTGTAAAAAAAAAAAAAAACAAAATGATATTGCACTCTCTAAAAAAAGTCAAAATGAAAAGAGAAGCTTTTTACAAAAAGGAAATGTGAATTGGCCACCTTTTAATCTTTTTCTAATCTTAAAATTCTTCCAAGGGCAGGTAATTTTCATGTGGTTTCAGGCACAGGCTATATTGGAAACCAAACCACTAGGCAGCTTGGCCATGTGAAACATGCTTGACAATTGGCCATGTCCTTCCAAAATTATCCTATTCGTTTTGTTTTTTTCACCATTGATTTGTTTGATATGAGGTTTACCAAATTTCATCCTTTTATCATACAAGTCTCTAATTTTCATTAAAAAGCATCACAAACTTAAAATTGATCAGAAATTAACTAAAAAGCATCACAAACTTAAGATTGATCAGAAATTATCACATCATTAAATTATATATATTAAAAATCCAAAGAATTTTAACAAATTCTAAATTTCATATTTTAAATCAAATATAATTATGATTATTTTTGTTGTTCATAAAATAAAGTTATATAAGGAAACTTCATTTATAGATAACTTTTTTTAATTATTTTTACATATTATTTATTTTCATAAAATATTTTAATTTCAGTTTTAATTTTATTTTTTTATAAATTTATTTTGATATATTATTACTGTATAAATGCACACAATTACTCAAAATTACTTCTTTCAATCTATCTTTGAACTTTCATAAATTAAATTTTCAGTTGCCGTTGCTTTTGTCAAAAAAAAAAAAAAAAAACAAAATAACACCAACTGTAAATAAGAATTATGCTTAATTGATTCAAACAGCCAGTAGAAGGTTCCCATGCTAATAGTGACGATAGCATATGAGATCTAGCAAATCAAGACCCAATGATGCTTCTTAAAAGGAGTAAAGTACAAGTATCACAGGTCGAGACTTAAGCTTCGAACTCGTGCGGCTCCAGGACCCGGACATTCACCCTTCCGACGTCCCAGATCAATTTTACTGTCACGATTCACACTCTTTTGAGGTATTGTCCGCTCTGGCCCCCCATGGTTTTATGGTTTTGTCCTACAAAAGGCGCCTCACAAGGCAGAGGTGGTGTGAACCCTTTTATACCCCAGGAACCCTCTTATTATGTTCGATGTGAGATTCAGGACTCCCCCGTAGGTTCGTGACATTCTCCCGCACCCAATCTCGTGACGCCCTCGTCACGGAGGCTGGGCACCCTATCTACCTCCCTCGAGGTGCTTGGCGTGGATCGAACGGTATAGGGCTAGCTCTGATACCACTTGTCACGAGTCGAGACTTAAGCTCCGAACCCGCGTGGTTTCGGGACCCGGGCATTTACCCTTCCGGTGTCCCAGATCAGCCTTACTGTCACGGTTCACACCCTTGTGAGATATTGTTCGCTCTGACCCCCCATGGCCTCACGATTTTATCCTACAAAAGGCGCCTCACAAGACGGAGATGGTGTGAACCCTTTTATATCCCAGGAACCCTCTTATTATGTTCGATGTGAGATTTAGGACTTCCCGTTAGATCCGTGACAGCAAGGTTAGCCTAGGCGATTTTGGTTGCAGGATGGGTTGCTGTACACCAAGGGTAGTAGACTGTTTGTGCCGTAGCACGGGAAGCTCCGCAAGAAAGTTTTGCAAGAATGTCATGATTCAAGGTGGACTGGACACCCCGGAGTGAGCCGCACCTTGGCGTTGATCGAGGATCGGTACTACTGACCGCACATGAAGGACGATGTGGGATTCAGGACTCCCCTTAAATCCATGACACAAGAACTAGGTTTCCTTTGTGGAATGCTTTGGTTGGAATATTTCTCGAAAGGCAGGTACAGAGATGGATCTTGAAGTTGCTTTTAACCCATGTATAGTATCTTCGCATTGTGGTGGTTCTGTTAAGGCTTATTGAGTTGCTAAGTTTATATTGCCCTTTATTGGAGTTATTGTAAATTTTGATCAAAGGGTGTTTAGGTATATGTTAATCATATGATCGTGTGTTTTTTAGGGAAAGGTGTGGTATCTTTTGGTGTTTAGATGGCTATGTGCTATGTCAGTTTGTTATTAATAAGTTCTTTTGACTTAAAAAAAAAAAAACCTAGCTTCTATCATTTGACAAAACATCAATTTACACCTTGAAATTAAAAATTTATGAAAAATATTCAAATAACAAGATTACATCCATTCATCAAAGTCTAAAATCACTCAAAACAAGAAGACCAATAAATTAACAGCTTGAAAAGCAAAGCTACCATTAAAAGTCTTTGTCTCCGATATCCTAAGGTATCTTACCTACTATCCTATACTTAATGGTATAAAATTTTAATTCAAAAGCGTTTTCTCCAGTCTTAGTCGGCACGACAAGCTAGATATAACTTTTTTTTTTTTTTCAGTTTGTTATCCTGTTGTGCGACTGTATTTATATATCTTTTATTATAAGCATTTGATAGAATATATATTTTTTTAATTTTAAAAGATTGTGTATTTACTTTAATAGAAATGTATGAATATTTTTCATTCATTGATTAATTTGGATTTCGTCTTTTTAATAAATTTGTTTAATTTTTTTTATAGAAGATATATTAATTAGGTATACGATGAAAACAAGGCTTCGCTTTCGAATTATTATTAATCATAACAAAATCTATTATATTGTTCCTCTTAATATGGCCAAATTGGTTAGGCTGCGTGGGCATCGAAAATAACAATAGCCTTCATGAAGCCGCTAAACGTGTGCAACGACAGTGTGGACCCAAAAAAAGCAGAAAAGTACGGTGATGTGGGGAATATGGCCTACAAATTGAGGTGGGACATGAGGATAGGGGGTAGGCTGAGAAGTGATGTGAACCCAAGTGGAGAGACCGAAGGAAAGAGGGGACTGCTGGGTAAGCCAAGTGGGGTTTCAGAAAAAATAACACCACTAAGGCGTATGGACGAGGAGATTGGGTCTTCAGAACAAAGCCAGGAACAAAAAGGGCAAAGGGAGAAAAGACAGGAGTATCTATGAGTTTCAGGACAGGCTTTTTGAAAAGTTATTCGGGAAGAAGAAAGCAAAAATTGCAAAGAAAAAGAAGGTAAAGAAGATTCAAAAACAGAAACAAAGGGAACACACGGTAGCGAACGCATCACTATTCGGTGGGGATTTTTAAAATAGAAAGAGGGTGTTATGTGCAGATATGGCTGAGTCAACACGGGAGATGGGGAAACCGCTAAGAATGAAAGCTACATGTGACGATGAGACCGTGATTAGTATTAGTCTTAAAAACTTCAATTTAATTATATCAAAAATAAAATTAAATAATTAATTAAATACATAAAAAATAATAATTTAATGTATTTGATCCAATAAAAAATAAAATTTACTAATTGTAAATAATTATAAATATATAACAAATCAATTTCATTTAACAATCAATACTCATAAACTCTCAATCTGCTTTAATCAAAGTATTTTCAACTTAAACAGACATAAATTCATATGCATCATTTTAACACAAATAAATACATATTCATATATATCAATTCATCATATTTATGTAGATTTTTTTAATCTCTTTTAATCTATTCTCAAACATTCAAATATCATACTAATAAGATATAAATTTTTAGTACTCCTATGAAGTATTTATTATATAAAATCTTATAATTCTCTTATATCTTTTTTCATACTTAATCCTATAAAAATTTCACTTATCTATAATCATACAAATTTATTTTTTAAAAATCTACTTTTTAAAAATTTTTTTTATATAAATCAAATTTACCTATTAAAAATATTTTTTTTACAAATTTTATTATACATCAAATAATATTTAAAAAATTTTAAATAAATTTTTATAAAATTTGAGCCATTATTTTTAATAATTCATATGTCGAGACAAATGCAAAAAACAGCCGAGCCTTGAAAGAAAGGCTGACCAGTATTGTGAATATAAAGTTAGTCGAGCATTAGGCGTGTATAAAAGGTTACGGTGAAATCGGTTGTAGGATCGAGTAGTGTCGAAATACTGTTGATACAGGAGACAAAAAAAAAGGAGTTTTCGTACCGGATTTGGCCAGACGGGGATATAGGAATATTTATTCTTGAGCATTCAATTCTGTTCGCCTTCTAACACAAGCTTTCAGAGAAATGAGGAGATTGACTTGTCAAACAAAGATTAATGTGCTTTAGTATCTGATAGGATTTCATCGTAATTTTAATACGGTGCGATTAAAATTACTGTTAAATTTAAATATAAATTTTAATTAAATTTATTTAATATAAATTTTTTATTAATTTTTTTAATTATAATTACAATAATTTTTTTAATGATAACTATAATATTTTTGTTATTATTTCAATTTCATCGTAATTAATCTCACTATTCATTCAAATAAAGATTTAATCAAGACCTCACTTATAGACACAAATTTTCAAATCATGTAAAATTTAAGAATTTTTGTTTTTTGTTTTGTTTAAGTCTTATGACGATTATTTCATATTCACAGTGTCTGGATGGTGTCCTCCTCCATACCAGTTGTATGTGGAGTGGAATTACACTCATTTACTGAGGCATCTTTTAATTGATAAGAAACATTGTATGATCAACTCATTTAAAAGTCCGATAAAATATCCCTTTATAGAAACATGGTCCATGTTCAGTTAAACTCGTTTCTTAAACTTGACTAAGTCTTATTGTTCGGAAACAGGACTAGTTTCTGTGGCGCAATGGCTTCCAATGTGACTAACCAATCGCGTAATGTGCTCAGTAAAAAGTTCATGGTTAGAAAAGAGGTAAAAAAACATATAATTCAAGCAAATATACAAAGGTTTTGCATTTTAAATGTCATTGAGTCACCATTGTTTTATGACAAAATTATGACAATTATGCTCTTGATTTTACAAAGTAATTTCTAATTTATCTGATTGATTATGTCTTCTGGGCTCTAATCCTCACTTTTCTAAACAGGACACTTTGGACAATATCAATCTCTTCTCCATAATAACCATAATTTCATTTATCTTATTGGTTCCTGCTGCCATTTTAATGGAAGGTGTCAAGTTCACTCCTTCATATCTCCAATCTGCTGTATAGCACATTTAGAAAGGAAATGCTGATGTTGTCTTAAAGCAACAATTAGAGCTTGTTATGTCATAAACATGAAGGTTTTTTTTTTTTTTTTTTTCTCTCTTGAATCAATTCAAACCAAGGTTTGAATATTAGGGAGCTATGCATAAGGTCTCTTCTGGCAGGATTCTGTTTCCACAATTATCAGCAGGTAAGCCTGTTTGTATCTATTGTAATTTGCTTCTTTATCCTAAACTTATGCAGTTCCTGAGTAATCATAGTAACTATAGCAGTAGGGATTGCCTGATTTCTAGTCCTCTAATCGAAGTTGAAATGCCATGTTTTCTGTTTTGCTGGTCTCTTACATGATACTGCAAATGGTATCCCCAGTTACACACTGTGTAGGAAATTGTGTTAAGAGAGTTGTGGTCATCGTCTCTTCAGTTATCTTCTTTCAAACGCCTGTTTCACCTATTAATTCCCTTGGTAAAATTGTTCATCAACCAATTGTTAAAACAAGGCAAATTGACAAATCTTCCTTGATCATCAGCTTTTACATGCGCTAATCAAATTGTCATAAAATTGCACTTGGTATTCTATTTATATTTAACTGTGACTGGTTTGGACTGCAGGCATTGCAGTGGCTCTTACTGAGTCGTTTTGTAGTCGAAGCAAAGCGAATGAAGCCAAAGCCAAAGGCTGCATTAGTTTGTATTAAATTTAGATGAAAAAGCGAATGAAGTCAAAGCCAAAGGCTGCAATCTTTTACTTTATCCAAATCACAGCTTTTGTAAAAGAGGAAAGAAAAAAAAACAATTTGCTAGTGCACCCTTTAAAAAAAATCGAAATGAAAAGAGAGCCTCTCTACAAAGACCAAATGTGAATTGGCCACCTTTTAATCTCTATCTAATCTTAAAATTCTTCCAAGGGCACGTCATTTTAATGTGGTTCCAGGCAATATTGGAAACCAAACCACTAAGTAGCTTGCCCCTGTGAAACATGTTTTACATTTGGTTAGGTCCTTCCTAAATTACCCTATTCTTTTTTTTACAATTGATTTGTTTGATGTAAGGTTTACCATATTTCATCCTTTTATCACTGTTAAGTCTTTTCCACAAAATCATTAGTAAAGTGAAACAAAAAGTTTGTAATAATTAAAGTCATTTTTAATTATGTTTTTTGTCAAAATAAATTTAATTTCCAAGCTTCATATTCTTCCAAGTTTGGATGCTCTCTCAATGTCAATGTTGTAGAGTATATGACAAAACAAAATATACATAGTGTCTTAATTTTAGGTAATTTTCTTGAGAAATGTAGTATGACTCTATCCTAAAGTTAGGCCTTACGGTTCACTATATGTCGGGTTAAGGTTTATGCATTTAGAGGTTCTCAGACAATTTCTTACATCATCATCTATTATAGACTAGTAAGGCTCCCGACCTTTACCTATTGTAGGCTACTAACGAAAAAAGTTTAATCTGAGTGAAAGTATTTCACTAGTAAATACGGAGGTTATCACCTCACAAAAGTGTAGCTACTTCAATTCCTCATAAAAAGGGGCAGAGTGTGAGTGTAGAGCTCATACATGTAAATGCATATACTAAAGTGTGCAAAATGACATATTAATCAAAATATCATAAATAAATCGTAAACGAAAAATCAAAATAAATAATAACTGACATGCAATTTATCTTAATTATTAACTTGTATATAAATATACATATATATATATTGAAAAATTGAAATAAAAGGGATTAAATTAAATGTTAAATAAAATCAGTTAAATCCAATAATTTAATAGTGCATAATTAAAATTTTTGACCTGACTTTCAAAAGTTTCCAGTGGAATTGCTAAGTTGTCGTAACGATTTTGGGACCACCAGATGTAAAAAATTTTAAAATTAAGAAAAAATAGGATGAGTCACTACCAATCTTTTTTTAGGGTGATTGACCACCTAAAAGGTTTATCCTTTTAATAAAACTACAAAAGCGTGCTCAAAGTTTATTAACAAGATAAATTTTGATAAATGAAAACTAGATTGGGTCCGAGAGTCGATTACGTGTGGGAAAGGATTAGCACCCCCACAGCGTCAATAAATTGATACCAATTAATCATGTACTATTTCAAGTGTTGGATGAAATTATTTTAATTTGAAATTTAATAATAATCCCCTTCATTTTAAAATAATTTTTTGTTAAAACTCTTTATTTAAGAATATTGAGAAAATCTTTAAGTTAAAGAATTATCTTAAAATTCTCTAATATTTAGGCAGAATTTAAAATAACTCTTTTCGCATAAGATTTAACACAATATTCTTTAAAATGAAAATAACATTCTTAGTGAAAGATAATTATTAATGACTCTTCAATATCTAGGCAGAGTACCAATGATTATTTCTTTTGAAATATTATTTTCATTTTTTTATTAAATAATGTCACTACTTTAAAATACATATTGCCTTTTTTATAAAATATTTGATTATCAAGTAGTAAATAAAAATTGAAGATAGTGAAATGCAAACGATTGCCAACAATAGCATGATAACCTATGTATGCCAATGGATGTTATGCAATGTGATGAAATGCAATTTTTAAAGTTGGATTCTTAAATATAATGAGACTACCTTGACTCTTCAATATCTAGACAGAGCTTGAGTGTGACTATTTATACTTAAGATCCTATTTTATTATTGTACCTTTTATTTATTAGTTTTTAACTTCATTATTTAAAGCTAATTAAGGATTCACATGAAAAACTTAATAGAATAAGGTTTCCTAAATACCTCATTATCTAGACGACATTCAAGAATAAATTACTCCACTTGAAATTTTCACACGTATTCTTAGAGTTTCGTGATGGTTTTGAGTATAGGTTTAGGATGAAGTTTTAAGGTTTGAATGATTTTTGGGTGATGATTTGGAATTGTATGCTGAATTTAGGGTTTAGGATTTTAAAGTTTGAGATTTTGGATTGTAAGGTTTTAGGTTTAAGTTCTAAGAGTTTTAGGGTTTAAAGGGTTTTAGGGCTTGGATTTTAAGGTTTAGAGGGTTTAAGGTTCTAATTTTAGGGTTTAGAAGGTTTAGATTTTGGCTTTTAGGGTTTAAAGTGTTTAAGGTTTTAGTTTTAGGATTTAGGGGGTTTAAGGTTTTGATTTTAAGGTTTAGAAGATTTAGGGTTTTGTTTTTAAGGTTTAAAGGGTTTAGGGTTTTAGTTTTAGGGTTTTAGGGGTTTAGAGTTTCAATTATAAGGTTTTGGGTTTAAGGTTTAGATTTTGGGGTTTATGGTTTAGTTTTAGGATTTGAAGGATTTAAGGTTTAGATTTTGGGATTTAGAGGGTTTATAAGTTTGAATTTTTAAAAACATGAACATTTCTAAAAATTTTTAACATCTAGGTAGATTTTTGAAATAAGTTTGATTTTTATGATTTTCAAATACTGCTAAAAAAATTTTTTTATGAAAATTTATTATTAATAATATTATTAATTTATTTAGTGATTTTTTTAATAATAATTTTTTAACATCTAGGCGAAATTATCATTATTTAAAATACGATTGTATTCCTTTCAACATCTAGACAGGAAATATTTCATTATTACTAGTTCATTTTATAATTATCTTACATATTTTTATTATTATTTATTTTTTTATTTAATACTTGGGTTATAAAAAAAAAATTAAAAGGAATTAAAAGTTTTAAAATAAGCTTTATTATTAATATTATTATCATTATTATTGTTATTATTAATAATTATTAGTGTAAAACAACAAATATTTATTCTAACAAATTCTAGAAGTTTTAAAACATGCATAAATAACAATAATAATAAAGTTAAAATGACATAAATAAAAAATAAAAAAATTTTTAAAAAAATTACCTGAACCAGACCTGTCAACGGTCCAATCAACGGGTTAATCTTGTCAGCTCGATGGTTCAACAATTCAAACTGATCCAAACTGGTTTAATGGTGGTTCATCTAAACTGACTAAAGGCTGATTGAAGTAGGTTGACAAGTTGGGTTAGTGAATCTCGAGTCGGGTCATTGACGCATGAATCTTCTCTAGCTAAAATGTCATTGTTTTAGGGTTTTGTCTTCTATATAAAACCATTTTTTTAATTTTATTTCAAACCATTTTTTTACAAAAAAAAACTTTGTTAGCTAAAAAAACTTTCAAGCATCCCCGGAGTTGACACCCTGCCATCATGCCAGCAGCCGCTGAGGTCGTCATCGCTGTCGTAACGGTTTTATGTCCGCCTAACGAATTTAAAAACAAAAAAAAAATAACGGAGTCGCCACCAATCTTTTTTGGTTAGATGCGATTGGTCACCTATTAAAACATATCTTTTTAATGAAATCTTAAAATTAATTAAAAAGATAATTTTAGGGTCTACACAACAGTCTAGGTTCGGGAGTCAGTTATGCGTGGGGAAGGATTAACACCCCCACAACGTCCGTTAAAAAATGGTACCAATTAACTACATGTTATCTTTCGATTTTAATAAAAACAGTCTTATTTTCGGTATTTGAAGATTAATTTTTTTTATTTATTGTTTTTATATTCAAATATTATTTGAGAAAAATAGATTAGAACTTTTTTATTGAAATAATTCCTAAAATGTTCCAATACATTGGTAACATTAGAAGAACTCTTTCTCACCTAGAGATTTTTTAGGTATCACTTCTCGGAGTATCTTAGAATCTCATCTTTGGAGGTTCAAATTTACTTTTCGTAAAAAAAATTATGTCATGTATGCAATGCAAATAATAACATGTTGATGCACTCATTTTATTTTATTTTTTTCAAAAAATTTATTAATTATTTTATTTTTAATTTTGGAGAGAAAAAAAAAAGAATTTTCATCGTATTGAAGTTTTTTTATAAATATTCCAATACACTGGTAATATTTAAAAAAATCTTCTCACCTAGAGATTTCTTAAAACATCTCTACTCGAAATACTTTTTGAATCTCATCATTAGATAAATTTTCTTTTTTTCTCATTTTTATTACTTATTTTTATTATATTAATCAATTTTTATTTATTACTAACAAAAAAAAAAATTTTTATTATATTGAAAAGTTTTTTATAAATACTCCAATACACTGGTAGTATGTAAAATAAATTCTTCTCACCTAGAGATTTTGTAGGCATCACTATTCAAAATACCTTTAAATCTCATCATTGGATAAAAATTTTCTTTTCTTTCATTTTTTATTACTTTAGTATTATTATTAAATTTATTTTTATATTATTGTTTTTAAAGTTTATTTTAAAAATTAACATAATTATAAAAAATTTAACCACAATTTCATCATTTAATCTAACAAATATAAATATTTTAATATGCATAAATATTAATAAAATAATATATATATATAAAATAAGAGAAATTCAAAAAAAAAAATTACCTGAATCGGACCGATCAACGCGCGGTTCGGTTCGACGGTTCAGCTCGATTTGGGTGAATCAACGGTTCAGTACCGGTTCGATTTGGTTCGATCTGGACGGTTCGGTTCCGATTCAGTCAGACCGGTCAGAGGCTGATGAAAGAAGCGGGTCGCGGGTCGAGTGCGCCGACCCTGGGTTGGGTCGCTGGTTGACGTGCGGATCCTGGGTTCTTAAAACGATGTCGTTTTGGGCCTTTAATGAAACGACGTCGTTTTGGTTCTGACAATTTATATAAAAGAGCAAAAAAAAAAATTTTTAGCCATTCTTTCC